GCCTAGCAGGGGTATCACAGGCCTGCCAGGGGCACTACCGGCCTAGAAGGGGCATCATCGGCCTCGCAGGGGCACCATGGGCCTGTCAGAGGCACCGCGGGCCTGTCGTTGGCACTTCAGACTTGTCAGGGGCATCACAGTCCTTCCAGAGGCACCACAAACCTGTCAGGGGCACTTACGGCCTAGCAGGGGCACTACAGGCCCACCAGGGGCAACATACACAAAAATTAAAAAATAAATAAAAAAAACTGAAAATAGGGCACCATCAAAATGAAGTGACCGAAATCCGTTGATTTTTTTAATTTTGGGTATACCCAGTAAACATGCCGACGTCGGCCCGACGTCGGGCCGAGGCTCGGCCCGACGTCGGCCCAACGTCGGTTCAACCTCGGCCCGACATCGGCTGGACGTCGGATATGCCCGCATGTTCCGACGTCCAGCCGAAGTCCAGCCGACGTCGAGCCGACGTCGGGCCGAGATCGTTTGCCGAGGTTGACGAGATCGTTTGTCGTTGGACCGACGGGGCCGACGTCGGCATGTTTATTGGGACAAAGCGCCAAAAATATCAACCGGCGGCGGGATTCGAGCCCCCCAGTCGCCGACGTCGGCATGTTTACTGGGACAACACGCCAAAAGCATCAGCCGGCGATGGGATTCGAACCCCGTGTCATTCGAACGCGAGGTTAGTACGCTAACCACTACACCACGCAGCCAGCTAAGGGGTTAGATTTGTTTTCTTGGGTTATGCCCTTTCGGTCTGACAAGACCATTTCAGAGCCGGAAGGATCATAGGATGGAGACATTGGTCTTCTTGGCGAGCACCCTGGGTCCACTTCATATAGAGTCCCTGGTCCCATTGCTGTTACGTGACACTTATTGGAAAGGGCGACCCCACAATGGATTCATATAGCCACTCTTACACACCTGCTACTCTTAGCCACTCTACACACCTTTTCGCTACCAACCGGCCTGAGCTTGTACAGCGTGCTGGCGTAACCCGCTGTCATTACGGAGGGCCCCACGATTTTACTCGTGTGGTGCTGTCCTGCGCCGGTCGTCCGTCAACACAGCGCGCTGGTGACGTGTATCGCCGCGCTCTGAGCAAGATAGACGCAGCGGCGTTTTGCCAGCAACTGACTGATACCGACTGGACCGGAGTTTTTGACAGCGACACTACTGTGCACAAGTGGGCGCACTTCCAGACGGCGTTCCTCTCTGAACTGGACACTGTCGCACCGCTCAGGCGTGTCCGTGACAGGCGGAGCTCTGCGCCGCCCGTGTCCGCTGACACTCAACGGCTGCTGCAGCGCCGCCGCGCGGCGCTCGCTGGAAGTGACCGCGCCGCGTACAAGGAGGCCAACCGGCTGTGCCGCGCGGCCATCCGCCGTGACTGCCGCGCGCGGTACGAGCGGGAGATCAGGGAGAACAGTCGCGGTGGGCTGTGGCGGGTGCTGCGGCCCGTTATCGGACGGAAACAGCAGCAGTGCGACATTCCACGGATAACCCCGAATGCGTTGAACAACTACTATGTCGCAGTGGGGCTCAACACTGCTGCTAGTGTGCCGGTCGCCGCTTTGGCTGTCCCCACGCGCGTCCCACGTGTGTCAACTTGTGGTTTCGATGTCAGCACAATCGACCTGGATACTTTGTGTGCCACGCTCGCGGTGATGAAACCGTCCAATTCAACAGGAATTGACGGTATTAGCGTGATGATGCTGCAAAAGTTTTTCTTGGGTGTGAGACATGCTCTGCTTGACGTTGTAAACTCGAGCCTTGTCACCGGTACAGTGCCGCACGCCTGGAAGCATGCGCTGGTCACACCCATTCCTAAAGCCGGAATTGCCACCGAACCGTCCGATACTCGACCCATCTCGATTCTGCCAGCAATAATGAAAATTGTCGAGCGCGTTGTACAGGCGCAGCTCATTGCTTATCTCGAGGACAATTGCCTGCTCTCCGATTGTCAACACGGGTACCGTAAATTCCGTTCCACTGAAACCGCACTGCACGTGATCACCGATCTGGCGCTTCACGCTATGGACAACGGCGAGATAAGTATTCTGGTACTTCTCGATTTATCTAAATGTTTTGACGTTGTTCCGCATGACAAGCTGCTAGAAAAGCTGTCTCTCTACGGCATCACTACCAAATGGTTCCGTGACTATTTGGCCGACCACGCGCAGCAGGTGCAGGTACGGTGCGCAGACGGAAGGATGCTACTTTCCGATGAAAAGAGCAATGTGATAGGTGTATACCAGGGCGGCGCCCTCAGTTGTATTCTGTACATGCTGTTTGCGAACGACCTTAGCTTGCATGTGCCGGACGGTGTTAGTGTCGTCCAGTATGCGGACGACACACAACTGATAGTGACAGGCAGAAAGTGTGACTTACCGCAGCTCGTCGCCCGTATGGAGCACGCACTCGACATGTTGTACCAGTGGTTTTGCTTCAACCGGATGAAGCTCAACTCCAAGAAGACGCAGATGTTAGTGCTAGGTACCCCCTCAATGCTGCGCAATGTACCACCTGTGACGTTGACCTTCAATGGAGATGTCATTCCAGACTCAGGAGTAGTTAAAAACCTCGGTGTTCAACTTGACAGGTATCTAAATTTTGAGGCTCAGATAGACAATATGTCCCATAAGTGCGCCGGTATTCTGATAGCCCTAAGTCACGCACGTCACGTCATACCTAGACCTGTGTTAAAGGGCATCACAGAAGCTCTAGTGTTATCCATTGTGCGCTACTGCATGTCGGTGTATGGGTCTTGTACTAGCACACAGCTGCACCGTGTACAGAAGACCATCAATTTCTGCGCACGTGTCGTGACCGGGAAAAGGCAATGTGATCACATCTCGGGTGCCATATCGAGCCTCGGCTGGCTCACGGCCGAACAGTTGGTGGCTTACCATACCTTGTGTGCAGTCGAGCGGACGATGAAGTCAGGTCATCCTGACTTTCTTCTTAAGACTTTTGGACAGCGAGCCCACCAGCGGCATGATCATAACACCAGGCGAGCGGACTCGTTTACCCTTCCGGCCATCCGTGTGGAGGCCGGCAGGCGGCGACTCTGTTACCGCGGTGTGTCGCTGCTGAACGACAGCGGCATTGAGCCTGGCACTTTGTCTTTCCGGGCAGATGCCAGGCTGTTCGCTGGATCTCTCTGATTCACGATATCGTTTCTGGTGCGAGTGTATGCATGGTATGCGAATGTTTGTAGTCATTTCCGTGTGTCTGTTCCAACTTCCCATTGTATTACCATTCAGACGCGAGTAAGTGAAAAGCCATGTAATCGTGGATCTTATTCAAATAAATCTGTTCTGTTCTGCACCAACGTTTCCCAAAGTGTCCCTTTGATAAGTGGCATTTTGGCAAAGCTCGGGGTTACATGAGCAGAGTTAATACGCATTACAAACGGACTACAATGGTGAGCGAATAGGAAAATCCGTTCCTTGATACGCATTTACGAGTACTTGCTCATGTAACCCCGGTAAAAGTGACACTTACCGACTGGCCTTTCTATATGAACTGGGCCCGGCCCTGGTGAGTTGCCGGGGCTGAGCCTGACCAAAGGATAGGCCGAGCAGCCCCCAAGCACTCACCGCACCCGGCTACGGGCGAGCTCGGCTTACGGGCGATCCCAAATGGGATAAAGTTCCCCGTCCAGTCCAGATCAGGGGGTTGCGGCGTGGAGGAAGATTTGAGTTTCTTGAGGATATTTTGAATACAGAAGCTCTTTATGAAACATGACACATATATTTTATATTATTTTAACGGTCAAAACAGCAGCCGATGTCGGTCCGACGTCGCCCCGACGTCGGCCCGACGTCGGCTAGACCTCAGCAATTGATCTCGGTCCGACGTCGGCCCGACGTCGGCTGGACCTCGGCTGGACGTCGGAACATGCGGGCATATCCGACATCCAGCCGACGTCGTGCCGAGGTTGGACCGACGTCGGGCCGACGTCGGCATGTCGATACCGAGTTGCCGACGTCGGGCGGACGTCGGCATGTTTACTGGGTAGGTAGGGGCACCACTTCGATTCATGGCCCCCTCCTTGGAGTTTTCCTGGATCCGCCACTGACGTCGGCATGCCGATGCCGAGTTGCCGACGCCACCCCGACGTCGGCCGACGTCGGCATGTTTACTGGGATAGTAGTGTATCTATAGGAATCTTGGAAAAGCGGCAGAATGGAGACAGTCGAAAGTCCTCAGGGGAGTGCTATCAGCCAAAGTTGTAAAATGTGATTCTCAGTGTACGCAATTCCAGTTCAAAACTCTGTTTCAACTTTCAAGTGCTAAAACTGTACCTACCTACCTACCTACCTACCTAAGTTTGGGAAAAGCGTGTAAAGCTTACTGGAAGAAAGAGGTGTTTATGACGTCACAGGTACTCAGAATCCAAAATCGCTTTGGTTACTTTTTTGTATCCCTGAGGAAAGCCACGTAAATTTTCCTAAATGCCTGTCGGCGGCCGGCTAGTACTCTTGCCCGCGCTCACATACGTGCACGTTACCCCGGCAACGGGCTATTGACCAATGAGAAGCGAGAAAAGTGTTACGTCACTGCGATTTTTCATATACCTGTGCCCCCCGGACGTGACGTAGTGTGCTCGCGCGCGTGCAGGGTCTCTGCGATCGAAAAAGAGCGCTAGCAGCGCGCCACTCGACGCCGCAATTGTCAAAAGCGGCGTGTTAGTATGCTTTATTATGAATGATGTGTGTAAAAGTGAGTTTTTACGTTGTTTATTTGGAGGAAATGGTTGGAATAAATTAAGTTATTTTTATTTCTGTTAGTTGGAGTTTTTATTCAAAAGATTTCGGTCTATACCATTGATATTTACTGAAAATACCTTCGCTTGAATAAATTGCAGATATTTGGCAACTGAAGTGTTAGGTAAGCCTAAATAATATGTACAAAGGTAAGAGACACCCTGATTATCATTTGAGAAACGAAAATATATGAATTTTCCTTATGAGACTCGCTCAATATGCTTCTCCGCGGTTTATGCCCCGAGGGTGTCCGAGGGTTCCCGTTAGTTTGTCGTTGGCGCTCGGCTCGCGCGCGAGCCGACGTCACCGCCTGTGACGTCGGCTCGCGAAATACGTCATACCCTGCACACAAAATAGCCGGCTGCCGAACAGCGCTCTGAACCAAAACAAAATACGGAAAATTATTGAGCTTGTTGAGATATCAAGGAGGTGGTGTGATTCTACATGGTTCCTATTCTTAGTACGATAACACACTGAACACAAGCGTGAAGCTTAAAAAAGCCCCTACCCTTACCCCCCCCCCCCCTTGCCGACGATCTCCGCCGCCGCAACTCCACCACCTTGACCTTTCAGTTTGAGTTCAAGTCAAAGTTCAAACTTCAAAATCAAGACTGGTTGAAATGGATCCCAGCAAGCAAAGTTCTGGCAATTTTGACTTTCAAGGTAGGTGCCAAATGTTTGGCAAGCTCACACTTTTTCTATTTCAGATAGGTAGGTATTGGGCGGTATTGGGCAGAATATAGATCACTACCACATAGGGTATTGGGTGCGTATAAGTATGTGCATTGATTCTTCGTGTGAGGGGTTCCCTATCACTAAAGTCAGTTTTATTCAAGTTTGACCGTCCTGCACTATAGTCTGTTCCATATCAAGCTTGCAGTCGGAGTTTCTTCGGCTGATCGCTCCTCCGCTCAAGAATTTGCTTCTTAAAATGTAAGAGCTGTATTTACAGAAATCATGCACTGCTTGCAGCAGGGCACTTCGGCTGCAAACTTGAAACGGAACAGAGTATATAAGCATATTTTTTAGCACACAGGCCAGTTTTACCAACAGGAAAACAGCCACATGCCAGTTAGAGGGCCCTGCGCATGCCAGAATGTGTTTGCCGAAAGACTGCTTCACATACTGAGTGTAAATGGTAAAGCCCCATCCACTTACATACCTAGCCTAGCCATCGCATTAATGCTTCATATGTGAAGCTGTTTGTCTTTGGGCAAAAATTCTGCCAGGGGGCTATTTTTATGTTGATAAAACTGGTCTCAGCATAAGATTTGCCGAGACAATGACTGGGAAAACTGGCTAGCACACATTGTATTGTTGAGATGAATGGTATTTCAATTAAAAAAAAATGTTCTGAATACTGATGAATTAGGTAGGTACTGGTTTGCTGGCGCAGTGTGCTTGATTGATGAAAGTTAGTTATACTTTCGGACAAGTTGACTGCCGCTGTGGGGTTGTAAATATCAGCAAGTATGAAATGTGAGTCAGGTAAATTAGTCATAAAGAAGTAATTTTGAACCAGATGATCATCTGTGAAATGCAATTGACCTTGCTACTGTCACAGGATACTGATGAAGGTGCTTCACTTGACCATGTCTGTTGTTAAATTTTTCAGATTTTCCGGTGGACAGCACACTAGTGGAGCTGGATACATCTGATCAGCAGACACACACATTTAAACAGTTCCCTGACTCAGCAGTAGATGATGATCTGGAAGGAACTGTTGAGGAAAACAAGGTAGGTGTGTGCCCTTAACCTTTGTATAGTCAGTAGATAGTCACTTACAGTGCTAACATTTTGTTAGGCTATGCAAAATCATGCTTACATTGTACATATGTAGTGTGAGCTTCGGGATAAACATGCAGCTGGAGGCATCATGGTTCTCTAGTTTGCTTTTTAAAAGAGGTTTGGCTCCATTTATGTGTTTCAACTTCTCACACATTTTAGCCAGCGGCAAGGGCTAAAATGTGTGATATGCTGGCGAAAAGGGCTCAACTGAAACTTGAGAAAATCAAATGTCATCTAATTAAAAGTGGCCATCCCACCTAAACATTAGTTTTGAGTGAAGATAGCCAAATTGAGGTCGCTAGCTTGCAAATACCAGTTTGAATACTCCAGGAAAAGCGTTAATTCAGAGATATTTAATTTCAAAGTCCTCACTTTTGGGATTCCAAGGGGCTGCTAATACTTTTGAATATTCCCTTACACTTTTTGATATCAGTGCAGATCTACCCCTTGCAACGTCCTAGGTCAATATTGAGGTCATTGATATCGTGTATTGTGTATTTCAATGAGTCTTTTCAAATGTCATTTGAATTCTTCCTATCTGGCTATTGTTTCCAGAGATACGACCCTGCCCCCCCCCCCTCCCCCAAACAAGGCCTGCTGCCAGACCTCAACGGGGCGTAGGTTTATTTAGACACGATTTACATGCACTTTTACGATCACAATTTGACATAGAGCGTTCTAGTGTAAAAAAATCCTAGCCAGACGCTGAACTTGCCAAAACTCGCGTGAGAGTCTTGATAATAAATTTTGAGTTTGAACCAAACTGCTTTTGAAAAACGAACTGTAGTTACCTGTAACATGTCCAGGTCCACATTTTATTTAGCAATTGTGCTCAAAACTGTCTTTGGCAGCGCTGGCAGTGCTTAGGAATGAGTAGGAACCATTCAATATTTTACATATTTTTTAGCCTGTTCAAATTGCACCAATGTGAACCCTAACTTATGTTACTATAGGCGCAGATGACTCCGCCATCCTCGCATAAACCCCAACTTTTCATCATCTTGATAAATTGTTGCCCCAATATATATATTTTCAAACTTGAATGATACGCAAGCAAATAAGAAGTCACGCCCCTCCACCTTGGAAAAGCGCCAAACCTCAAGTGGACCTCTCACTCTTGGTTGTTAAAAGGACAAGTTGCTGCCTGCTGAGGCGCGATCCAGAGCCTTAGAGCACATTGCTGCCTTTTATGATAGTTTTATTCCGGGCTATACAGACGGCTCGAAGACAACCGAGAGAGCGGGCTGCTCCGGCTACTCTTTTGTCGCTGGTCGCAGGTCGTGACATCCGCTCCTTTTCTCTGCCACCTTCCGCCTCGGTATTTTCTTCAGAGGATTGAGAGGGCCTTGTGTTTAATCAAGTTTTCTGGCAATCCCTTTTACCTGCTTTTATCTGATTCTCTTAACAGCCACTGGCCTAAGGCTTTACGGAGTTTTAACCCAGTTGACCCCATCGTGCGGGATATTTTAACTCGGCTTACTTCGGTGGAGCAGTCTGGAAAATCAGTCTGTTTTTGCTGTATTCCCAGTCATGTTGGCATTCAAGGCAACGTGCTTGCTGGTGCTGCTGCCAGACGCGCCGCCGCAGCAGCTTGCACTCGGCGCTTGCCTCTGCCTGCCCGGGATTTTTTTCCGCTAGTTTGACGTTTCATGCTTTCAAAGTGGCAGGTAGAGTGTAATTTGTGCAGGTTGCAGGCATCTCAGTCATTGACACCATCACAATAAAGCAGTAAAAGCAATCACAGACACGCTCACAGCCCGGGCCACACTCCACAGCCTATACGCACGGACTGTCTTACAAAGTCAAAACATGGGCGCTCACTGCTCGCACAAAATGCTGGTGAGACAGTTGAAGTGGTTCGGTAAATAGTAAATACTCTACCTGTGTTTTTCATTCAAGAGTCCTGAATATATTTGAAACAAAATCGTTTCGCTCTTTAGGCTGAGACATAAATCATAAGTAGATACATTTGCTGTTATTTTCTGTTCACATATCAATGTCCCTTCCAATTCGTTTTTTCCAAACCTCACATCGCGTGAATTTTCGATAAGTTAGACAGAAACTTTAAAAAGGTACAGTCACTCGGGTTTTCTCAAGTTTGTCTGTTTTGGCAGATCAAGCAATACCAGAACATGCCTACGGACACACATATTTGATCAGAATCGGCTGTTGGACACCTTAAAAGTGATCTTTCGTGTTTTCCTGAAATTTACGGGAGGAAAGATGTGGGGTTTGGAAAAACACGTTGATATTTTACAATGGACCATTGCTGCCGGCAGCTGCTGGGAGAGGAGAAGCCTGCCGGCGGTGGTGGCGCCATCTGGACCGTCGAATACTATCGACGCTACTTCAACGTCGACACGAGCGACGTTCGAGACCGCTGTCTCTGGTCCATGGTCCCCAAACCGGGTACCAACTTCCTGAAAGACCGGCTTCAGCAGAATCCAGATCTTTACGGTCCGTATTGCATATTTGTGTTGCGTTTGCAATGTGCACGCTCCAAAGTACACGTTTTTTAGGTGCGCATGCATGCAGATGAAACTTGTCAATATTCCTATGAACATCAAATTCCCTGATCAACCAGCAGGAAAATCGTAAATCTAGATGAAAAATAGAGTTGTTTTCACTAACGCAAGTACGGGCTCGGGGGATGTTTGAACAGTCCTCGGATACCGTGGGTTCTGGTGCCCCGGTAATTGATGCACTCGAGGTTTTCCTATTGTTTGTAGGCAAACAGGAAATACGCCAACATGTTACGGACGATTAAAATGCAAAAATCTTTATAAAACATAATAGTCTAAAAAAATATCGCTCTCTGGGCATATGTACAGGTAACATTTAGACCAGTATAACGCCTTTTGGGGCCACTAACGGAGCGAGCGAGAGGGTGGGCCTTTCACGTGCGAAATTACGAGGCGGTACCTCCAACTGACTGGTGCACGGCACCCTACTAACCGGTCTCTAGCGATGTGCCAAATTTGAGCACAATCGGCCCAGCCGTTCTCGAGATCTGGAAGCGGCACCCTGCACGTGCGCACGTGCAAAATGGGTACCAACTGACTTGTGCACTAGGGTGTGTCACTAATCGCAATGCAAGGTGCTCCATCGATTTTATTGTGCTCCACTCATGTGGAATTGGCGTGGCATTGTTAATTTCCCGCAAATTTTAACCCCCAGGCGGCGCCGAGCGAGAGAAGTTTACCCTATCTCACAACATAGGCGACCCTAGCGCCCCTGGCGGCTGTTTGCGAAACTAACAGGCCGTTGACTGTATGGGCTTATCCCTGCTCTCTGTAAGCGCGTCTAGGGACAAATAATTGTATGGGCAGATTGCAGAGAGTGCAAGCTAATGACGAATACCTATAATGAATACAATATATTGCCACAGGGGCCCAGGAACATTCTTCAAGTTCGGGTGCAAGCCCAAAATACCTGACATGACGCATGTGAAATAGTAGCGTAGTCAAGGGGTCCCAGGAGGCACGTGCCATCTAGTCCCCCCCCCCTATCGCATTCAGAGGACCCCTCGGGTTGGAGGGGCTCTGTGGCACCAGTTTACCGCTCAGGGTCTATGCTGGCCATATTTCGATTCATAAAGAATAGGGCTCGTAACAGCACCTCGTGAGTCCAAAGAAGCCTCACTAAATTGTCCATGAGGGTTACACACCGGCTTCTGAAGGCTACTGGCGGCCTCTGAGGGCCCTTTACCGGCCTCTTATGGCCGCTAGCGTGCCTCTGAGAGTCCTTGCCGGCCCAAGAGGGGCCATATCTAGGGCCTTACGCCAACCTGTAATCAGTAATGGCCTCACACCAATGTCTCTGACGGCCCCATTACGACGACTGTGAGACTGAGGGCCCTCACTGGTGCTTCTGAGAGCCCACCCGGCCATAAAGACCCCTGCGGCACCAACTGACCTCTAAGGTCCACGCTGACTATATTTCAGCTGAGAAAGACCTCACAGGTCTCGTAAGGGCACCTCATGAGTCCCTAAGTAGCCACACTAAGATCTCCGTCAGGGTCTACGCCGGCTTCTGAGGATCCCATAACGGAGACCGTGAGGGCCCTCAGCAGGGCCTCTGAGGGTTCACAACCAGCACCTCTGAGAGACCCACACCAGTGGTTCTAAGGGCCCATAAGGACACCACTGAGGGTCCCCCAAGCCAGTGCCACACCATTTATGCAACCCTATATTGGTGGCTCTGAGGTACCCACACCTGCGCCTGTGAGGGTTCGGCAAAAGCATATCTGACGGCCACCTACCTGCAACTCTGAGGGCCCTACACCAGAGACTGAGGGCCGCACTGGCGTCTCAGAGTACCTTGTCGGTATCTAATGACCCCACAGGGCTTCTGAAAATGCCGCCGGCCTCTGTGGGCCCCTTGCCGGTCTGAGGTCCCCCTCCCCGGTCGTTGAGGGCCCCCTGCCGACTTTTAAAGGGTTCGCACCAGCAGCTCTAAGGGCCACACACCCACATGTAACGGACCCACACCAGTGTCTCTGAGGGTCCACAACGGCGTCTGTATTCTGTGAGGACCCTCACCGGCGCTTATGAGGGATTCACACTAGCACCTCTGAGGGGCCACACGGGCGTCTGTGAGGACCCCACACCAGTGCCTCTAAAGGCCCCTAATTGGAGGCTCTGAAGGCCCTGCATCGGTGATACTGAGGGTCCTACCAAAGGCACAACACACGCCATTAGTCTCCTTCTGAGTCCCACACGCCGCCCTCCCACCATAGGCGGCGGAACGGGGAGGGCACCGGGGCACCGTGCGGCGTGCCCCCTCTGATTTGGGCATTTTAACATTAGCCCTATGGGCGTTGCATGGAAAGAATGGGACCAAAATTCGGCAGTGTCCCTCCCCCCCCCTCCACTTAATTGAAGGTGTTCCGCCGCTACTGCCTCCCACCGGAGCGAGTAAACCTGTATCAATCAACGACTTTACCACCGTTGTACGTCATAATGTTCTCATCACGCCAAATCAAATACCATCCGGAACCAAAATGGTCCAGTATAAAATCTGACCTACCAAAGTTATCATCACCAAGTTCAGATAAAATCAAAGTGGGATGACAATAGCAGGTGTTCTTAAATCGATGCCGAATCAGCAGAAACCATTCACATGCAAGACAAATACCTTGTGCTGATGTTTATATAAAAACAGACATGTAGGTCCATAAAAGCCGGAGCAGAGATCCTTCATCGTTGCATCAATGTTGAGGGGGCGGCGCCCACTAGGCTCTCAAGTTGGAGGGGGGGGGTAAGCGCCCCCACTGCCCCCCCCCCTGTTCCCCGGGGTCTATGCAGTGAACGACGCTACAAAAAAAAAAAAACATGTGACACCTAATAGCAGGCACTATAAACATGCGCTCGTACGTATCCCGTCAGACCAGGACGGGGATCGGGGGTAGAACTATGCAATGTACATTAACACAGAACTATTTCGTGCTTTAAGATGCATAACATCACATTTTCACCAACATTCTGAGTGCCAGACAAGCCAACAGCAAGGCGTCATTTCGGTAAAATGCATTTAATGATGATCGTAAGCTCACAAAGCATAGCGAGCGTGTTAGTTCAAAACATTGCCGCTAGGGGCGCTGAGGTCGCTAATGCTGAGAGATAGGCCAAAGTGTCGGCGGTCGGCGCCGCATGGGTGTTAATATTTGGGGGAAATAAAAAATGTCACACGGTTTCTACGTGTCTGGGGCACGATAAAATCAGTGGAGCACCATGTTTTGCGAAAAAAGTGCCCAAAATGACACACCCTATTGTGCACGGCACCCTAGTAGCCGGTCTTTAACCGTGCACCAAATTTGAGCGCAATCGGTCCAGCTGTTCTCGAGATATGGAATCGACCCCTGCACGTGCGCACGTGCAGCAGCACCCCAACTGTGGCACATGCAAATGCATTGCCTAGTGGGTGCCTACCTACATGCCAACTTTCAGCGCAATCGGCTAAGTAGTTACCGAGATATTGCAACAATTACAAAAGTGACACCTCTTCGTTTTGCACGTGGCACGTGCATAAGGGGTCACCCACATGCATCGGGTATAGTCAGATACTTGGTAGAAGGAATGAAGCTACCCTATAAAATTTACCTCATGTAAATCGGTCAAGTGGTTGCTGAGATATAAGCGTCGCAAAAGCGTAACCATGGCCGGCCGCTCATACTAAGAAATTTCCGTTATTCTACGTACGACTCCGCTCGCTTCGCTCGCTCCGTAATAAAGCAAAAAGAGTATCTTGACAAATCAATTTACGCTTTGTTGCTTAGTTGCAAATGAAATGACAAGTATCTTTTAATGCACTGGTTAGATTGCGAATATGTGACCCGATCTGTATCGTGACACTTATGCTTGTGATATATGACGTTCAGTAATTGTGCGCTGTGGCGCCCGTAACGGTTCGTGTCGTGACGGCAGGTCCGTTCTGGATCGGCGTCACCTTGGTCATCTCGATCGCTGTGATGGGAAACCTGGCCAACTACCTGCAGGTGGCGGCTGCCGGCGACCGCTACCACTGGAGATACGACTTTCACAAACGTACGTCCAACCAGGCCCCTTACACAGCCGGTCAGCCGCGGAACACGGCCACTGGCTGTCTGCCTTATGTTATCCGCGCACCTAAAATAGTCACTTACTGTAAAATAATCGACTAAAACAGCAACGCGTGCCATAACCTCTTATTCTCGTCAAGAGTAAACCAATGCCTATCACATGGTAGCTACTAGCTATAGTAATCATATGGCTTCTTTTTTCCCATGTTTGATTAATCATAAGATTCCAATCTATCATGGGACTGGGTAGAAAATGTCTGTTTTGGTGTCGACGTAAAAGCTTTATTTCTGTTGCTACATTGACACAACTGACAACAAAACCGTTTTTCTAATTATATATTAGTAGCACAACTAAATTGGCTGAGCAAATGGCCAACATGCTATGTTGGCCTGAAAACTTCAGTCAGAAATATGGAATAATTGTTTTAAGTCAAAGAAGAGGGTAGTTGTGGGTATGGTCTAGTTCGTGACTCAAATTATATGTGTTTCACTTAGGTTCGCTGGTGAGCGTGTTATTCGACCCGGCCACTGGTCGTGCAGTTGTTTGTTTGCGCGCCTCGGCCGCTGCCGGGACGTGCTGACGGCTCCGTCTGGTCGCAGTGACGCTGGCAGCCACGGTGGTGTTCTGCTACTCGTGTCTGGTGCCGATCGCGCTGTGGGCCGTGTTCTGGTGGCGCGGCGTGCAGGCCACCGTCACCCTGCTGCAGCTCGTCTGTCTGTACGGCTACTCCCTCACCGTCTACATACCCATCTCGGTACGTGTGACCCGGTGGAGCCGTTTGTGGGACAGAGGTATACGAGGTCAACTGGCGACCTTTGACGTGTTGTTGCTGAGTTGGTTGCTGGCTCGGGACGCCGGGCGGCTGTCGTTTAGAGACCCCTGGACCGGTGGATGGTGACTCTATCTGGCGAGTAGCTGTCGACTCTGGGGCGGTGGCAGTGTCGTTATGAGCCACGACCGACGACAGAGCACGCTCAGCACAGAGTCCCTACCTGAGGTGATCGCTGACCGGCGGACCGCCCCGACAGGTGCTGTGCGCGTCCGGCGTCTGGCAGCTGCAGTGGGCGCTGATGCTGGCCGGGTTCGCCGTCTCCGGCGCCGTGCTGGCCGCCAGCCTGTGGTCGGCGCTCGGCGAGGAGCAGCGCCGGCTCGCCATCGCCGTCACCGCCGTCGTGCTGCTGCTCCACCTGGCACTGGCCGCCGGCTTCCTGGTCAGACCCCTCTCTCTCTCTAGTTCAGGAAGCATAGCAGTGCACGCCATGCCGCGTATTTACGCATTAGTTGATGAAAAAGTGACTAAGCTTGAGTTCTTTGACACTTAGGTAATTTGTAACACAAATTTTGTTGCTGGATTTGACATAATTCCGTAAAAACTAGCTATACTTATCTGAAGACTGAATGTTGCATTGTAGCTAGAGTTGTTCTCTCGACTATTTTCAGATGCGATTGACTTTGTTCTGTTCATGATACAATGACTATGTGAGTTGAGCAGAGCGACATACCCATGTCATAAGCACGGTTTGGCACCCGTGTGGTATATACTTCATCCATGGTATTGTGTAACCTGTCCATCTGTGTCGTGCGAGGGTTGCCATGCTTACGACAGCGTCTGATCGATCCCTCCCGTGCCGCGTTTCAGTTGTACTTTTTCCGGTCGCCGGTACCAGCCACCGACGTGCAGGCCACGACGGCTGCGGCTGCCGTGGCGGCGGCGACTGCGGAGAAAACTGCGGCGCCGGCCAGCCCGGCGGCCAAGCGGGCGGCGTCCGATCCGGCCGCTCCCGCAGGTGATCAGGGGGCCGCCGCAGCGAAAACAAAAGGCGCCCCACCACCAGATGCGGCCGGCGGCGGCGGCGCCGACGCGGGTGCTGCTGCGAAGCCCGCGCAGCGGTAGGCAGAGTGGACGATCGGGCCTTCGACAGCGGCCCGGCGCCCGCTGTCTGCGGCGACATGCCGCTTATGTCAGCGAGGGAGGCTGCGGAAGCTCAGTAGGCTCAGGCCTAGCCCGGTCCCTCCAATGCGTTCTGCAGAGAACAGGAAGCGCCTGCTGGTGGCGAGGTAGGCTATCTACATATAGCCCTGCTATCAGGCGTGGTGTGACCGTGTGATGTGTTGCTCCCCGGTGATGGGACCACGCTGAAGGAGCCAGCCGTGTGTACGGCGCCCCTGCACGATGTATTGGCCTGCTTTTATGGGAGCACCAGCCTGAAGGACCTGTGTGATTTACTGGGCAACCGAATATGTCCAGAACTGTTTGAAACGATTCGCGGTCTAACCAGACTTCAGTCTGTCCCGATTCGCTAGCGCTCTGCTGGCTACTCGTGTTTTAGTTGTTATGTTGTGTGGAAAATGTGGGATGGCGTGTCGTTTCTTGGGGAATGGTTGAGCCTTGTTGTTGGTGTTGTAAAATGCGTATTACTGATAAAATATATACTTGATTCGAGTTTCCTATTTACTTCATTCGTGTGTGACCAATCCTCGACTTTCACCGTTCTGAAGTTGTTTGTTATGTTCGTGCTGGTAACTTAGTGTCTCGTAACTGGTAGATGTTGTAAACATAGCAGCAATCAATACTTTATATAAGATCTTCTCCATTACGTTCTGTCTCTTAGAAGGGAGCATTTCGATGCTCACGCACTGCGAAAATAACTCATCTTTATTAAGACATCATTTATTTTTATCGGACACTTGGCATCGGTGTGAAAGAGTGCGAGCATCGTCACCATGGCGGAATGCATCAGTGGACAGCTCGCCACGGGCTTACGACTGGGCTGAGTGGGCAGTGTTATTACGGAGGGCCGCCCCGCCCCGACCTTCCACCCACACAGGAACACCGGTGTGTAACAGCCTGGTTAAACAGCCACACATCTGAGACACTTCGCTATAACACTGGGTCGCGACAATCGCACGATATCCACCACTTTATACCTCAGGATATGGAAGTTCGGCAGCCCGACTAGCGGGACGATCGCAGCCCGACTATCAGGACGATCATAAGGAATTGACGAAGGGTTGGAACAAAATGTCGCTGCATCGGACTAAACGAAAGGTGGACTTCAAAGTGGGCAAATTGCGCATTTTGAAATGAATCAAGCTGAAGCCAGGCATTCCGTAACACATACATACATACATAGTATCAGCGGTCACAAATATACATGGTAACTGATATTCCCTGGCACTCCGCAGATAGGTGCTACCAAACTCCCTAAAGTACAATGGAGCTCCGCCGCTACCCGCTAGAAGACACACATCGTCTTGGTTAAATGAGGCACATGCAATGCACGAATACCCTTCAAAAGTGGTGTCTCCACCCGCCCAGAATAGTTCCCGGTTTCTTTTTCTTCAGCAAATGTTGAAATAAAGACAATATAGCGGACAGCGCACTGACCTTGGCTCGCAGAAACACTTAATTCTACCCGTGGATACAGCGCAAGTGCAGACAAAAGCAATGGATAATATCGTGGCTGCAGACGCTACTTCACACAAAACAAAAAAGGCTGCGCAAATTGCAAAGCTCAGGGACGCGCAAAGTCCCCAGCATCAAACGTTGCTTCCTTCTACAACATCGCAAACTTTTAAAGACGTAAGCTCAGTGAAGAAATCATAAAGATGAATCGGAATTAAACAAGCTGCAAAACCAAACGTGATAAGAACCTCCACATTGTACACGCCAAACACATAAAGAGCACGGCTATTCAAAGAGCAAATCCCGATTTACAAAAATAAAACAGCTGCTTTAACTCCAGGCTCCTTTACGGACATGCTGCCACAGCATACATCAGGAATCTGTACATATATAAAATATTGCCTCATATGGTGAGTCGTCAGCACGTAGATCGCGCCTAATCTCATACTCTGTCCGTGGGCCTGCGAGATCCGTCGCCTTGTTGATTTCCTCAAAAAGTAGGCGCCCAAGACCGTCCACACACAGACTTGACGGATGAACTTCCTGAAAGAAATGGCCCGCAGTGAACGATAGAACTGGCCACGGGAGCATCACTGGAGTGATGCAGTGAATTTGCATAGCCAATGCGCCAGTCCTGATGGATATTTGCTTTGACCACCATAAATGTTATGCCCATCACACTAGCGGATGAGGCGAGTAATTTATCAGGATAGAGCGACGGTAAGTGAGGAAATCCGGTTTGTGAGGATCAAAATCGCTTTTATTACACCATTGTATCCCATATCACCAGGGAGCGCGAGACAGATGTTCTCGTGTCGCCGTGGCGGCTCACCTGACACCTCAGTCGACCCTCAGTCGGGAGACGCTGCGCCGACTGCTGGCTATCACGCTGTCCACCTGTCGGAGGAAGTCGTCGGCCGAGGGCAGCTGGCCGCGGCCCGGTCGGCGCGGCTCGCCGGCCGTACCACCGCCACTGCCGCCGCTGCTGCTACCCGCCTCGTCACTGTCGGAGGAGCAGACCGCCGCCGTCGTGCCCCCGCTCGGCTCCAGCGGCAGCGGCACCAGCAGCGTGCGGCGCACGTGCAGGCTGTCGTTGGTCCACAGTTTGTTTGCGCGCTTCAGCTGTTCCATCTGAAGCAAAACAAGCAGATAGCCAGCGTGAGGAAATCTTGAGCTAATATGCTACTCATGCTACACAGGTGCCAAACCCTTTTCAGATGAGCACCTGGTTACTGGTTTATGGCACTTTAAGTTCGAAGAAAACTCTTAGGATGCATTTATCCTACGCTCACATCACATTAGTCACCTAAGGTCACACGACTTGAAGAAACAGACCAGGGCCCTGTTTCACCGGTGATAGCAGCACGCTGTTATCAAATTGCGCGAGCTGACGTAATGTGATGACGTCATACTAATGACGTTTCGTCTAATCCGTGAGCTTTTTTATAGCTACGTTTGAAACAGAATTGCTGTCTCGTTGAATGCGTTTGATTTGATCGCGCGGCCGTGAAGATGTTAGCAGCAATATTTGATGACATCACACAGTTTGACGACGCCATGGTTTGTTGATGTTTCCATGGAAACCCAATTTGACACGTGTAATAGCAGCGTGCTGCTATCACCGGTGAAACAGGGCCAGAAGGCCCCCAGAAAAGACACCTTGGCTGACAGGAGTCCAACAACAGTGCTGAAACTTGCACTGAACAATTGCGCTAAACATTTATACAATTTAAAAACAATACCCTTATTTGGGTTCCACAATTTACTTTACCTACATCATGCACCACGATTGTCCAGCATTAATACTTTCATCATTACCCTTGCAATGGCAACACAACTTTCAATAGCATGAACACTATGTTCACCATCTGTGAGTACAATTAGAAACACCATCGCGGAGGCAGCCTGAGTTGCGGCTGCCACGGTCGTGCTAGCACTGATCCATCCCCGCTTACCGTCACGTTGAATTTCAGTGCGATGCCCTGCAGAGTGTCATTCTCCTGCACGTCATACTGAATGAGCCTCTCACGCCTTGTGGTGTGACTTGAGGTGGTGCCATATTTCCTTTGTCCTCCAGAGGATATGAGCCATTGTTCCTCGCCAAATGAACAAGCCATTTCTTCTGCAGAGAATCTCAATAGATCCAATGGTATCAGTAGCCTGAAACAATAGGTAGGTATGTAATATTCAGAGTTGCAGACTTAACTGGTAACCCATGGATGGACGAACACGTCTTTAGATAAATAATGATGTTGGAATTCCCAAATTAAAAATCCAGTGCTCCCGAAACTCGAAAGCCATTCTTATAATCATGACTGCCGCTTTCAGGGCACTGGGAGCAGGTCGAAACGGCGAGCATGATAAGTTTAATAAGTTCATACGCGTGTATCACAGTGCCCGACATGGTCCCATCTGCTGCAGTACCTCTGTGCGGCTCATGTTTTATGTGTTTGTGACAAACACTCACTTGGTGTGCTGCCTGCCATCAGTAGTAGAAAAGCCAAATTTATCTTTATTTCAGCTTAGCTACCTGCCACTTTTCACTGTTGGGGAGGGTTTTTTATTTTGATTTCTACCTACCAAGTACTCAGCAACCAAATAAAAATGTAGGGTACAGTGCCCTAGGGTAACTTTCAGCGGTTCATCCAACCTCCTCTAAGCTCATCCATCCTATCAATTAAAAAATGGTTTCTGTTGCTCCTCTATGCTAATCCTGATTCGACATCTCATCACCATTTCCCTCTTCCCTCATCCAATACAAAAGTTGGATTTTTTATGAGGCTTTGCTGAAACATATTTTGGCACACGTAAGACAAATATGGATTGTTTATAGGTGATATTTAATCGAAAAAGAAATAATTGCAGAAAATGAGAAAGGTACCGTAAAATGGGGTGTTAAGGGACAGTTTTGAGGTGTTTTGTTATATAACTCAAGAAGGGTTGGGGATAGAAGCATCAACTTGTCAGCATTTTATGTGGAATTTAGTGCTTTACATGCCTGCTACATTAAAGTTTAAAAATATATACACGCATATTATTTTTTATTATTTTTCATCGCTGTCCCTTAGCACCCCAATGTGGGGTTTTAAGGGACACCTATATTATTCCTAGAAATGGTCATCAAATGCCCACAATTGGGGTGTGAAAGGGCACACAATTTATTTATTGAAATGTTTTGCATATTCTGTCACAAAAGAAGTCTGGTTCATTCACCACTAATGGCCTTTTTAGCCAATTACATGTAATGCAGTTTATGCTTCTGGAAAATGTGCTAACTATGAGGTAAATAGAACCAAAAAGTACCTTTCTGTCATCAACAGAAACCCATTTTGAAGCTAGTCACTTGTCATTATGTTGCCCTCTTTGTTTTGGCCTTTTTATGATGACACCACATTTACCTACATCAGTCTTCATTGACCCATCATTGTAAAAGATAGTTACGGAGCGAGCGAAGCGAGCGTAGTCTTTCCTTAGATTAACGGAAATTTCTGAGTATGAGCGGCCGGCCGGCCGGCCGGCCGTGGTCACGCTTCTACGACGCTTATATCTCAGCAACCACTTGACCGATTTACACGCGGTAATTTTTGTAGGGTAGCTTCATTCCTTCTACCAAGTATTGGACTATTCCCGATGCATGTGGGTGACCCCTTATGCACGTGCCACGTGCAAAACGAAGAGGTGTCACTTTTGTAATTGTTGCAATATCTCGGTAACTACTTGGCCGATTGCGCTGAAAGTTGGCATGTAGGTAGGCACCCACTAGGCACTGCATATACATGTGCCAGAGTTGGGGTGCTGCTGCACGTGCGCACGTGCAGGGGTCGTTTCCAGATCTCAGGAACGGCTGGACCGATTGCGCTCAAATTTGGTACACAGTTAGGGACCGGTTAGTAGGGTGCCGTGCACAAGTCAGTTGGGACCCATTTTGCACGTGTGCACGTGCAGGGTGCCGCTTCCAGATCTCGAGAACGGCTGGGCCAATTGTGCCCAAATTTGGCACATCGCTAGAGACCAGTTAGTAGGGTGCCGTGCACAAG